TAGCTTTTGGTACCAAAAGATGCTGAAACAGTGCTGAGGTATTGAAAAGGTGATGAGGTGCCGAGATGGTGCTGAAGAGGTGCTGAGATGGTGCTGAGGTGCCGAGATGGTGCTGAGGTGCTGGGGGTTCCAAGTCTGCACTTTCCCCCTTGTCAATACTAAAATCCATTTGATGTATGTATTCCTGTTTTATTCTGTCAAAAGTAGAAATTATGTTTAAAAACAAGATACCATGTTATTACAGACGAAGACAAGAAGTAATCGAATGAAAATTTAATCTGCATTTAAAGCTACACATTAAAATGACAACATACTACACAAATTCAACATGTTTTCATATTTATGACTTTATGTTTTGTACTGAGTTCGTCTCTTTCAGCATTCTATATAATCATTTATGCTAAGTATCAATTATGTAAGAATATTCAAAAAAAGACACTAAATCAAAAATAACAATATGCTGATAATAGTAGAACAATAATTTACATTGAAGTATATCAAGCATAATACTACATTACGACATGGAAGGAATATGCTTCGTTCGACAAGTGACTATTCTCAACCGCTCAACCAGTGCAACTAACATATAATACAAATGAGCTTATTAAAAAGGATATAAGTGAGTGCATGAAAGAAAAAGAAGAAGAAAATAATTTTCTTTTTCGTTGTGTTTAATCATCTTACTCTATCATGGATAATCTATTTTGAAAGAAAAGGAAAAGAAATAAATAGAGAGATTATTGAGATATAAATGAAAAAGCAAAATTCTCATTCATTTTTTTTTCTAGATGGTTTCAAGAATACAAAAGTAGAACCACTTTATCATAAATAATTTATGATAAAAATATGTTGCGCTCAATTCTAAAGACAAAAGTATTGGGAACATTAAATATATATGAGAAAAGGAACGAACGATATCGGTACTTAGTTTCGGATCCTATCTAAAACTACAACAAACTGAAGATATCATTCATTGCTGATATTTTAACCTTCCATAGTCTACAATTCGAGTATGACAATGTATAGCTTAGTAGTTTAAGAGTGCATCACATTCATTTCTCATTGTTAGTTGCAGAGCATATGGACAAGCTCGCATTCACCTCTTTATAAAATACTTGAGCTAAATATATAATTAAATCTAAATTTTTATGTCCATATCATCGTCTAGCCAAAAACGTTCCACAAAGCACATTCAATTCACACTATTCCAAATTCAGTGACGGGAAAATATTTTTATTGCCAAATACTATATTTACTTTAGTTTCAGTTAGACAACTGTCTTTTGGCAACCATAGTGTAACATAACATTCAACTGATAGGTGAAAGACTAATGAATAATTTGTGATCAATTGAATGTGATCTAAATAAAAACTGGAAATTTCTTCTGCAAATGTGATGCATCATGTAGCAACAAAATGAGTCGATTTTTGTCAGTTTGCAACCGACAATGAACCAGACCACACTATCAAAAGCACGTTTACCTCTCTCGAAAACATAGAAACGCTAATATAACGCGCTTCCACGTTTATCTACCCATTAGGGGTGGAACCGGTTGGAAACATGGTAAACCGATCCGACCGATTAGAATCATACCTCCAACCGGTCG